AAGAAATATATATGTATTTGGTTTACAATCCAATAAAAATACAAAGCATGGGATGCTAGTCAGAGTGGTGTCTGAGCCAAATACTAGATATGTCTGCAACTTTCAGCTATATTGTGAAAAAGGTGACAATTTTAAAAAGACCATTTCACCTATGCTTAGTGACAGAAGTTTGCGGCAACCACCTTCCAGTTTTCTTTCCATTTGCTTTCAGTATTAGGAAAGTGAAAAATTTGTAGATTGCAACTGTGTTAAAATCTATACTGTTTGATATAAGTATAACTACCCTTGTCCTCTTTTGGTTTTTATTTTTATGGAATATTTTTTGTTTCCTTTACTTTTAGTCTATGTATACTTTAATGTAAGGCAAGTCTTGTGAGTAGTATATAGTTTAGTTTTTATTTTTTCTTTAACCAGCTCAACCACTATATGTTTTTTGATTGAAGAATTGAGACCATTTATACTTAAAGTAATTATTGACATGTAAGAACTTAATATTGCCATTTAAAAAACTGTGTTTTGACAGTTTTGCAGTCTTCTTCTTCTCTTGCTATTACTGTGATTTTATAATTTTCTATAGTGTTGTGCTTTGATTCCTTTGTCTTTATCTTTTGCATATCTGCTGTAGGTTTGTTTTGTGAATACTATTGGACTTATGTAAAATATCTAGTAGTTATAACAGTCTATTTTATGCTGTTAGTCATTTCCTCCCTCATATTTTAAGTTTTTAATGTCACGCTTTACTTCTTTTTTTGTGTGTATTTACTAACAAATTATTGTACTTATAGTTGCTTTTAATACATTTGTCTTTTATTTTTTACACTATAGTTAAAAGTGATTTATGCAACACATTACCATATTAAAGTGTTCTCAATTTGACTATATACTCACCATTGCCGGCAAGTCTGTGATTTTAAGTTTTCATATTATCTTTAAATATACTTAGTTTCTATTCACTAAGTGTGCTACTCTAAGTATAACCTGAGCAATACAGAGTTATAAAAGAAGAGATGAGTTGGGAAAAAAGTAAGGTGTATAAGAAACTCATGTGGAGGTTTTTATTTTCTTTTCTGAATAATTACCATATCTACAATTTAGAAAATAATCACTCAGTCGCTGTCTGTATTACTTATGGAACCAGGTAGTAGGAGTTGGGTATCTTCTTTGCCATTTTTTCATGTTATTACATTAAGATAATATTTTTAAAGTTAATATAATTAGTTAAATTTCTTGTGTTTATGTTATGAGAACAATTTTATACCTGTGTTTCTTAACTTGAAAGTATACATCTCTTATTTGTACTATTACACAATAATATATATATATACACACACACACGCATATCTTTATTGATATATGCTACATATAGTAAATTTTTCCCTTTATTCATAATATATTGTTCTGAAATATTCAACATCTTGACTTTCCAAAAGCATCACATTGATCAACTACTTTAAAATAGTTGTGCTTATCACATACAATGATTATTTTAGATTATTTAGACATATATAAACATGATTATAAGCAATAGAACACCTTAGTGACTTTCCTGGAGGTCCAGTGGTAAGCGTCCCACTGGGTTCCAGTAGATAATAAATGCCTAGACTTCAATATCAAGTAATTATATCAGCTAAGCTACCTATTAAGACTTGGATCCTATTTTATTCATAAAATTGAGATGCAAAAGCAGCATTCTATAATCAGGTGAAAGCAATATATAAGAGATAAAGCTTAGAGGTTCCAGTGGCATAAAGATTATATTACCTTCTTTCCATTAACTTAAACTCTTGGTTACATGGTATGTTCTTTATAAAGTTTGGACTGACAGTTAAAAACTTGCACCTGAGTATGCCAACAGTTTTGCATGATAACAAATTAGAAGCAGCTGCAGCCTTTCAGCTCCAATTAGAAGAAGTATTATGATCAAGTAACAGTTATATTTAGCATAATTATGGTGAGGGGCCATTTTCCTACTGGGAAGAAATGCAAACAATACATTAAGTTGTGGTCTTTGGCCTAGAAGCATAGATCTATATAGACTCATGAAAATTTGCTCTTTTTTTTCCCCTAGACGGACAGGTCTTAGAACAAATAGAATTAGAAGATTGGTAACAAAGAAGCCTGGGAAGAATTTTACTGATAGATCGCCCAGAAAAGATACAGATTGTAAAAATATAAGGGTTCCATTTAAATGCTTGCCAGATAGCATTCACTAGAGGGGAAGTTTTATTGTTTTTATTTTTTATTTTTTTTGAGTTGCAGTCTCACTCTGTCACCCAGATGGAGTGCAGTGGCTGCTTCCGGCCACCGCAGCCTCGGCCTGCTGGGCTCCGGCAATCCTTCCACCTCAGCCTTCCACGTAGCCGTAACTACAGGCATGCGCTACCATGCCTGGCTGATTTTTTGATTTATTGTAGAGATGAGGGAGGGGAAGTTTTAATAACCAGGTAAACAGATGATATGTTTTCTGTATATTGGCCTCTGTTTCCAGTTTTCTCAGGTTTCTCAGTGGGTCCTTATACAAAATGACTATAGTTGGAGGTCTTATTATGCTAAACAACATGAATTTTCTCACAAAGAATGATCTGGCAATTAATGCTGATGAGCCTCTTTAATTCTGAGCCACTATTATGATTTAGCAAACTGTGGGAATCTGTTGGGTACTTAGTGGCATGTTGATTACATTGAAATCTTTCCTTCATGGAGGAAGTAAAATTCTGTCTCATTAAGTGAAGATGTATTCTGGATATGCATTTTCTTGAATATTTTAAAATATTCTTGACTGAATATTTAAAAATATTCTTGACTGAATATTTTAAAATATTCAAGATATTTAAAAAATTTGGCTTGTACTACCATCCTTGGCTTTAAACAATGCCTTATTTTCCATCATACTATTCTGTACAAAATTGTTTTGAACAATTTATTTTCTTATTTTACATGAAGATAATTGAAGTAATGGGTTTAAAACCATGGGTGTCATTGGTCTTAACACATGTACAATCACTCATAAATAGATGGTCTAATAGAATCGAATACTAAAGACTCCTATATAATTCTCATGGGAGACACGATCTGGATTTGGGAATGAAGAATTGGGATTGAAAGTGGCTCTTCTTACTTTTAAAACTAATTAGAAGGTTTGCTTCCTATTTTCACAGTTTTTAGCCCTGTTTTGTTGGAAGTCTGGTTGGTAAGAAAGGAATGTCTACACCAGAGTAAACTACAACATTTTCATTAAATTGGAAATTAAGATTGACTATTTGACATTTGTTTAGAGGATGCGCATATCTACAAATCCTATAGGTTTGTATCTGTGAAAGTAATGGTAATAGAAACCAGTGAGAATTGGGGAGAATCTGCCCCTCTGATTAATGTATAAATACTAAGCTTAAATAGCACATAGAAACTGACTAAAAATTTCTTGTGCCAAGTTATATTACAAGGCAATACAAGCTGTATTTTTATACTTATGCCATTCTTTCAGGATATTTAACACTCAGGTTTGCCTTCTAAGAACATATAGACACATATGTGTACTCAATATTCTGGGTAATACAATATAACTTAAAACATATAGTGATTAAAATTCAGTGGTAAATTTGTGTACCTGAGGATGAATTGACTCTGCAACCTATGACTGAGACAACCAAATAAGTGACTGTTAGTTCTTTAATACTATTTATGTGCAATCATGTTCTTAGGTTTACAATTTAGAAACATACATGCTCACAGTTGCTCACAATTTACACTGCATGATCAAACCAGATTGTAATTTATGCCATTTCTAAAAATTTATTTGTATTTATTATATTAATAGAGATGTCCTGATATTTTAGTCCCAGTATGAGTTACCTTTTCACTTTTTTGTGAGAAATAAATTTTCCATTACGTTGTATAATGTAGCTTAATAAATGAACAGTCTTGGAAACCAAATTGATCTCTAAACCTCTTAAATAAAAACAAAAGTAAAGATGTGTTACTTTGATAAATTTAAATTTATAATTTTCGGTTTCATTTACTCATTCACAATCTGGATATAATAATAAAAGTGCTTAAGGTGATACATAAAATATGATGTCACAGAATTGACAGTGAAGTATACTAATTATTAATTTTATCCTGCCACTTTTTTGTATTTTGTTTCCATATTACAAGAAATAAAAATTGCATATTGCCATATTTTAGACCTTTTATTATTGATTCTTACAATTAAATTTTAATTGACATCATTACTAATTCTAGAAGAAAGAAAATATGTATTATTCATGATTGGAAACTTTAAGAAATTTTAAATTTCCAAAAGAGTATACTTAAATACTCCCAGACCAATAAATGTTTTGAGAATTTGAAGAGAACAATTGATCCTTAATAATTCATTAAAATGTAATTATTCAATATCTATTATATATTAATCATGACAGTATATTAAGCATTGTAGTTTCATAATTAACCATGTAAGAAATGATCCCTGGTCTCAGGGAGATTGAATTTCAAGAGTTTACACTGAAAGACTTTTATTAAAAAATTTTAGATCTTGAGATAACCAAAATAAATAGGATTAGGTTTTAATTTTTTAACTTTTTTTTTTTTAGGCAATAAATTACCTATTTTTCTTCTTTTTCATTGAGTTAATAAAATCTAAGCAAGAGTAATCCCACTGTTATTCCTAAGGTATTTTTTCCATTCTTATTTTATCCTCTCTTCATTTTTTTCTTTTGCCTTTCCCCGTTAGTATTTTAGTAGAATGCTAGGTTAAAGAAAAAAAATTTCCTTGACTTTTGACAAAGGGTAAGTGAATATTCTGAAAAGAGTTGTCAATGTTACAGAAACACAGCTTTTCAAATGAAGTTAGGAGAAGATTCAAGAGAAGTTTACTAAGACTTGTTCAGAAGGATTGAAACATTCCTTTGTTAAGAAATTTTTTTGAATTCTAATTTAACATAGTTTAAGGTATAGGAAGACTGATTGGATAATTCCCCCAAAATGAAGTTTTCCAGACATTAAGAACTTCCCTTGGAATTCATTTTGTAGCTTCTGAATCTCTTCATAGCATTTCTTACCTCTTTATTTCTCAGGGTATAAATGACTGGATTTAGGACAGGTGTGAAAACAAAGTAAAACATAGCAAGAAATTTGTCCATCTTGGTGATGTTGAGTGGCCACACATAAATGAAGAGGCAAGGCCCAAAGAAGAGCACCACCACTGTGATGTGGGCAGTACATGTAGAGAGAGCCTTGGAAGCCCCAGTTTTAGAGCTTTGACAGACAGTGAGAAGAATATATGTGTAGGATATCAGTAATAGAATAAAACAGGTTACAGCTACAAGTCCACAGTCAGCATTCATTAAAACATCCAAATTATGGGAGTCCATGCAGGCAAGCTTGATTACCAGAGCTCGATCACAGAAGAAGCTGTCTATTTCCCTGGGGCCACAGAAAGGCAGCTGTATGATCACTATTTGACTTACGGCATGCACAAAGCCAATGATCCAGGATGTCACCACCAACCCAATGCACTTTTGCAGACTCATAATGGTGGAGTAATGGAGTGGTTTGCAGATTGCCACATAGCGGTCATAAGCCATTATCACCAGTAGCACCATCTCAAGTCCTGCAATGAAATGGGAAAAGAGTATCTGGAACATGCAGCCTGCAAAGGAAATGGTCTTGTTCTCCCTGAGAAAGTCAGCTATCATCTTAGGAGTGGTGACTGAAGAAAGCCACATATCAACAAAGGACAAGTTGGCCAAAAAGAAGTACATGGGGGAATGGAGATGGGAATCAGTGATGACTATGATCATGATGACAGTATTTCCAGATACAATGATCAGGTAAAGCATACAAAATATCATTAAGAGTAAGACCTGAATATTCCACGAGTTGCAAAGTCCCAGAAGCATAAATTCTGAAACCACAGACTGATTTCCTTCAACCATTTTATTCAGTGTGTCCTCTAATATAACCTAGAGAGAAGGATAGATTATTGGTAAATAGGATGAGAAAGGGTACTCGATTTGTAAAATTTGTTCACATTGAAATTTGGCATCTGTATCTGAGAGTAAAAAACGTATGTGAAGAGAAATCTTGGCCAAATATGCATGGCATTATGACTAAAAGAGATGCTAATTGCTGAAGATTCACTTTTCAAGAAATAGAGCCTGAGATGAAATTGTTATACAAATGCTTTATTGAGAGAGAACTGTCATAAGAAGGAAGTAAGGAAATCAGAACTGCAAAGAGTACAGTTAAAAAAATTTATAGTGTCACTTGGGACTAGCTTCAGTTCACTAATCCTGTAAAAATGTGGGTGGGGCACCAACAACAATCATTTTACTAAATAACTATAATGGGGTCATTAACTTAAGAAGGTGACTGTGAACTGATACTGAAATTCAAATGACAATATACCCAGTACAGTCTCTCTGCACAGACATAACTTCCTTGTATTGTGCTTCTCTTTATTGTGCTTCACAGATACTGTGTTTTTATAGATTCAAGGTTTGTGGCAACCCTGTGTCATGCAAGTCTTTTGGCATCATTTTCCCAAAAGCATATGCTCAGTTCATGTCTTCGCATCAGATTTTGGTGATTCTCACAATATTTTGAGCTTTTATATTACTATATTATCTGTTATGATGATCTGTGATCAGTGATCTTTGATGTTACTACTTCAATTGTTTTGAGGCATCACAAATAGTATCTGTGTAAGAGTTGTTCAATAAATACTGTGTTCTGACCATTCCACTGACTTGTTTCCCCATCTCTCTCCCTCTCTTCAGGTCTCTCTATTTCCTGCAAACAACAATATTGAAATTAGGCCAATTAATAACCCAACAATGTCCTCTAAGTGTTCAAGTGAAAGGAATAGTTGCATGTCTCTCACTTTAAATCAAAAACTAAAAGTGATTAAGATTAGTAAGGAAGGCATATTGAAAGCCAAGATGGGCAAAAAGCTGGACTGTTGCACCAGACAGCCAGGTTGTGAATACGAAGGAAAAGTTTTGGAAGGAAACTAAAAGTGCTACTCCAGTGTACACACAAATGATAAAAAACCAAAACAATGTTACTGCTGATATGGAAAAAGTTTTAGTGATTTGGATAAAAGATCAAAGTAATCACAATATTCCTTTAAGCCAAAATCGAATCCAGAACAATGCCCTAATTCTCTTCAATTTTCTGAAGGCTGAGAGAGGTGAGGGAGCTGCATAGGTTGATTCATGAGATTTAAGAAAAGAAACCATCTTCATAACTTAAAAGCACAAGGTGAAGCATCCAGTGCTTAAGTAGTTAAGGTAATTGATGAAGGTGGCTACACTAAACAACATACATTCAATGTAGAAAAAAAAACACAGCCTTCTATTGAAAAAGGATGCCATGTAGAACTTTCATAACTAGAGAAAAGTCAATGCCTGGCTTCAAAGCTTTAAAGGACAGACAGATTCTCTTGTTAAAGGCTAATGCAACTGTTAACTTTTAGTGTTTATTTACCTTTCCAAAATTCCTTAGGACCTTTAAGAATTATGAGATTCTGCATTCTCTTTGCCCATTTTTATAAATGAAACCAACAAATCCTGGATTACAGCACATTTGTTTACCACATAGTTTATTGAGTATTTAAAGTCTACTGTTGATACTACAGCTCAGAAATAAAGGTTAATATGAAAATATTACTGCTCACTGACAATGCAGCTTGTCACTCAAGACTTCTGATGAAGATGTATAAAGAGATGAATGTTGTTTTCATATCTGTTAACACAACATTCATTCTGTAGCCTATTAATCAAGGAATAATTTTTATTTTCAACTCTTATTAGTTAAGAAATATATTCTGTAAGGGTGTAGCTGCCATAGATAGTGATTTCTATAATGAACCTGGGCAAAGTAAATTTAAAATCTTTTGGAAAGGATTTACTATTAGAGATTCCATTTAGACCATTTTTGGTTCATGGAAGGAAGTCAAAGTGTAAATATTAACAGGAGTTGGGAAGAAGTTGATTTCAACTCTCATGGATGAATTTGAGGGATTCAAGTCTTCTGTGGAAGAAGAAAATGCAAGTGTGGTGAAAATAGCAAGAAAATTAGAAGTGAAGCCTGAAGATGTGACTAAATTGCTGCATTCTCATGATAAAACTTTAATAGATAGGGAGTTACTTCTTATGGATGAGCAAAGAAAGTGGTTTCTTGAGAGAGAATTTACTCCCGGTGAGGATGCTGCGAATACTATTAACATGAGAGCAACCCCCCCACTCAAAAAACAAAAAACAAACAAAATATGATATAAACTTAGTTGCTAAAGCAGTGGCAAGGTTTGGGGGGTTTGACTCCAATTTTGAAAGTTCTACTGTGAGCAAAAGAAGTTCACATGCTATGGAGAAAATGTTTGTGACAAGCATTGTCAATCTATGTGGAAAACTTCATTGCTGTCTCATTTTAAGAAACTGCCACAGTGATCTCAACTTTCAGCAACCACCACTCTGATTAGTCATTAACATTGATATTAGCAGCCATCAACATTGAGACAAGACCCTCCACCAGCAAAAAGACTGCAACTCACTGAAAGCTCAGATGACTGCTAGTATCTTTTAGCAATAAACTATTTTTAAATTAGGGTATTTATTTCTTAAGACATTATGCTATTGCACACTTAATAGACTACAGAATAGTGTAAACATAATTTGTACATGAACAGGAAAACAAAACAAATTGTGTGACTCATCTTATTGAAATATTTGCTTAATTATAGTTTGTCTGTAACTGAACACACAATATCTTTGAGATGTGCCTACACTATGTATAATCGTTTCTTCAATCTCCAGTTGAACCTCTTCTATAAGATACCATAAAACTAAGTTTTTAGCTTACCTTTCTAAAATACATGGTTGGACAAACTTTAGGAGACAGTCTATATAGAAAGACACATAATGAATATCTTGATGTAATAATTTACATGAAAAATCAGGCATATACTTTATCATTAATTTAAAACTACCACGTAGTATAACTTATTTAGTAAACAAAATGGATGTTAAAAATATCAGTAGAGTGCCATCTAAAGGAGGTTAACCAAACTCAAAGTCAATTTAGCCTCAGATTCTCACTAGAAAAACTAAAGGAAGCTCCTTATAACTCAAGCTTATCAATAGCAAATATTTACTTTCAATTATAGGACTAAATGTTAGGAAAACCCTAGGCTTTGAGATATTAATATTTTCTGACTATCAAATATACAAACATTATCTATTTAAATTTGTTAGATGAGAATAAATTGCATATGTGTGTAAACAAACTACAATTTTGTGTGTTAGTGCTAAGTGAACATGGCATTAAAACTTCAGAGATTGCTGGTTATTCATCTTTAAATGTAGTAAGGATATTGCTTACTTTGATCCCTACATTAACTGACAATACCTTGCAAGTTGAATGGTGGAAAATAATTGCTACTTTTCTTTTGCTCGTTTTTAATTTTTCTTCTTGGCATTGTTTCAATTTTTGTGCCAGTCTCCAAGGTGGTGCCAAAGAGTACAGGTAAGGAATGAAAATTATTGCTACATAATGGTTATTAGTTACTTTTTTCCTATTTCTGAGGATTCAGAAACAGTTTAAGGACAGCAAGAAAAAAATTCTCCTAAAGGAAATTTGTTATTTCATATAATACATTTGCTGTGGATAAAGGGACATATGATAATAATTTAACAATTTACAAATAAACATATATCCATAATAGATGTGATTTATCTTATTCCTAAAGAAAATATCCTGATGTTACCCCCAATAAATCCATGATTTTTGAGAGGCTTGAACAATCTGATCTTTCTCTTCAAACTCTTTTTCTTAATAACATAACTTTTCAGTAGTAAGTGTTCAGTAACTAGTTCTGTACCTGCTAGATAAGTGACAGAGCAGATAGCTAATAACAAAGCCAGGACTCCAACTGTGTTTGAGACAGAAATCTACTAAAAAATGAATACGTCCGTTTTCAGGGAAAAATTCATCAGTAAGAAATCATACTGTTTTTGAAAATCAGTTCTGATAGTTAATCTGTCCTTTTAGCAAACTAATCATATTACTCTGTTAATATTAACTAAAACTTATAATTAGTTGAATAATTACAGACTTTTTAGTCAGAACTAGTCTGCAGTTTTACTCTACTACTTTTTAATCTTGTGATCTTGAGCTAAACCTATTTCTGTTCTAATTTCCTCATCTGTAAAAAGAGGACATTCATCTAATATATTAGCTGTGGAGATGTATCAGAAAACATACAGAACACTAAAACTCTTTTACTACTTAGTGATTGTTACATAAATATTATTTTTTCTACCTATTCATTATGATTGGTTTTAAAGCAGTACTCTTTCCAAGGCTTATTGGCAACACTTTTATTGTACAGTTGAGCACTTTCTGTAAGCTAAATATATACAATAAACTTTAGAAAATCTATTACTTATTTTTCTTTAAATGAACATACATGCAGTCGGCAACACTATAGGTTATACAGATGCAAAGAACTTAACAGTCATGCCTCTTCCTTTCAAAGAATGTAAACAAATTTTTCACACTTCACTTTCTCTTTTAGTGAAGGGTTATTAATATTATAAAGGAAACTGCAAGAGGCTTAGGATACTCTATTAAAGCACCATTAGAATTCTTATCTGGCACAGGAGAATTCTTATAAAAAGGGGTAAAGTTAATTCTGGTATTGATGAGATTGAAAATCAGAAAAAAGAAACACATTTAGTTGCTATTTAAGGTGTATGAAAATAAGCAATACATTTTTCATTCCCTTCTAGATGCAATGTCCTTCCATAAATTTTTTTCTATAATAACTCAAAAACCCCGTGTTAAAAGTTATACCTTTACAAAGAAATACTTGGACTCAGATATTGAATAGATCTTCTAAGATATACATTGGTGAGGTACCACAGGGGGAAACTCCAGT